AGTATATTTAATCATAAAATGTACCAAAATTTCGGCAAAACGAAAGCAAGCAATGAATTGTTTATTCCTTTGAATGGATCATAATTAATATATAACCAATGCATGCCGTATAATAATACTTAAAGGTCAAGCGTAACCGTATTAGCAAAAACTCAAAAAATTAAAATATGACAAGAATGACTAAATTTTACCTTTTAATCAAAATAATTTTAATTTAATTTTCAATAGGATTTGTAACTATTAATTAATTTTCAAATTTGTTTATTTAAGCTAACTTTTTATGAGGTAATCGACCTAGGCATGGTTTCATTTGCAAACATAAAATGGGTGATTTTGGTTTACCGATTTTACACGAGACGTGAAGTTGAAAATTTACAACTATTGATTAAAAATAGAAGCTAACTGAATGTAGAATTTTCTTAATTTTCTACTTTCCTTTTGACCTCATTATTGACAATTTCTTCCCTAAAATCTTTGTTCCATTTTTAATGTGCTCCTCCCTCTCTATATTTAGGATTAAATGATTTAGAAAGTCTATGCATTTTTTCTCGTTTGCTTTCATTTATTTTTTTATATTAGGGACACCCCAACAGAATTCAAACTATCCAGGTAAAATAAAAGAATCTAAATGCTTACATCATATTTAGTAAATATTTCTAACTCAGTCATGTTTGTCGTAAAATAAATTGTACTGTAAAGTAAACATCGTAATTATTTTTTCATTATGTTCTCTCTCATTAAGGTCCTTCCCCATATGGCCAGCCGGATCAAGTTGGTAATTGCAATGTTAGATATTTTTGAAAGGTTCCTCCTATGTTAATTTCGCAATTACATTTTAACTTAAAGTGAATACTCAGCCAATTGTCGGAATTCAACCACAAGAACTATATTGTCCATCGTGCCGTAAAACTGTCTTGTCTACGACCAAAACTAAACCTGGCTCTTGGACGTTCCTTACGTGTCTGATGATTAGCTGTGTTGGGTAATCTCAATTTATTTGTGGTATGATAAATACTTATTTTAGGTGTAACCTAGGTTGCTGCCTTATACCCTTTTGCGTGAGTTCATGCAAAGATGTTCAACATATTTGTCCACTGTGCGACAGAGTAGTGGCCACCAAAGAGTACAAGCCCTTCAGTTAAATGCCGGAATTCCTATTCTCTTTCATTCTAAATAAATTATTTTCTCATCTTACTTTTCCTTTCAGTGGATTTCAAAAAATATTGCCATTTTTCACAGATTAAAATGATTTGAAAAAATAATTGCCAAAATTTTTTTCAGACTACAAAGCTTAGATATTTTTTATTCAAACGCAGAGGCATTTAACCAAAATATTGCCACAATGTGAAATAATAAATCCTTACAGAGAACCCTAAACATTCAGTTACCCTAAGTTTTCCGTGATACGTTATGTGACCGTACTGCACATTGGGTTGAAAGAAGTGTCTATAGCAAATCTTAAATTAACTTAAATTTCATTATCAACTCTCGAAAGAACTGTCCATAGTACAAAGGAATAGGCGAAGAGATGATGCAGCCACCCTGGCACAATGCCCACTACTATTCAGCGACAGGAAATTTGAAAAGGAGTATACCACATAGACCTCAGTTCCATTCCATATTCGTCCGCGTGGGCCAAGTTCCTAACCGCTATGGCATATCACGTCGGTGTTCTTAACGGTTAACTAACTTCTGGATTTTCACCTTTACTAATGCTGGTCAAAAGATTACTTCGTAAATATGACGACACTGAGAGCTGGGTTCATCGCCATTCAAACAGATTTTTATTTATTTCAAATGGCAGGCGTTTTGATAGCTATCATTAGCCATTTAGCTGACTTCGGGCTTCACGGAGGGGAGGAGGAATATTAATTTGACAAAGTGTCGAGAGGGGGAGGCAGAATAATGATCCACAGATGTAAAAGAGGCAGACAGACACAACGCCAAAGAAAAGGTAAGATGAGTACTGTGGAAATAGTCGAATTAGGCATAGAGTGAGGTGATGGTAGTTTGAAGTGAGTAGTCAACTGCCAGTTAATAGACTTGTTTTGCCGTGTGAGTATACGTTGCCCAGGGTGCACCGCGTGGAGGTAAGTCTATCACACACCCCACACTGACATCATCTGAGTCGAAGAGAGCGAAGACTAGTACACACATATGCACTCCCACTGACCGCCATGTTTCTGACGACTTGTCCATAATTGTATTTAAAGGAGTCCAATGTTTTCCAATTAAGTAAACTGTTTATTTCCGCGTTTTGCCATCACGTGTATTCTTCTAATATGGTTTTTTTCTTCATTTTAGCGACGATCGCGTAAATTAGAAAAGTGTTATGAGAGACTCAAGCCGCTGGAACCCCGTCTAAATGAGTTGTTTTCTGCGCCAAGCGACGTTGGCGCCAATATCCCTCAGCATGAACCTTGGTTAGCATGGCTTCGACGAAGTTTCGAGCTTCTGGCTTCAACTTCCGTTTTCGACCAATTGCCCGAACTTCTAATTGCGGCTCTACAAGGGCGAGTAACCTATAAGTAAGTTATTTTTATTGTACTTGTTTGGGTAGTTTTAGAGCACACTTTATAAGGGGGACTCTGTTGAGGCTTCTAATTACTGACTGTGATTTCTACTGAAAGCCTGGTATGGTTAAGGCCCATCCCCTAATCTCACTCGAGACATCGGAAGGGGGTCGGAATTTTTATCTAATTGTGCTGAATAGAGGTCTTTTTATTTGAGTTTTAGTGCTTTGATGGTGGGTAAAGGGATTATGTTTGAACGCACACACCCCACCTGCCTCCTACTTTCACTCAATCCACACTGTTGGGGACATAAGTTGACCTAACTTCAGGTTAGCTATATGCTAATATTCTGTGGTAAATATTATCCTAAATCGGAATACTAATAGAATTGTTTTGCCACTCTTTCAACTTCTAATTTTATTTACTTGAGACTAGAGATCAATCGGCTCCCGAATATACTTTCGCCCACCACGAGCTTTACGATGCTTAGGCTTCCTTTTCTGATATCGCACAACAAAGTGTCACTGGGCTTTTATTTCTCTTTATCTAGTTTTGAGATCAATCAGGAAATCATGAACGCCCGCTCTGGTCAGCAGTTTCAACATTTGGTTATAAAATCCACATGTGCTGCTTTTGAGGCTCGAAAAGCAATGCTCAAGGCCTTGGAACAAGTCCATAAAATTTGGTTCCAATTTTCTGTAAGTGCTTTTATTGGCTCCTTTTGAGATAATTCTCATGCCTGCGCTTTAATTATATTTCCCTGATCATGTAGACGTCGGCTAGGTGCATTATCATAGGTTGGATTTTTTATGGTATTTAGCCTGATCTACTCTACTGGTGGTAGGTAGAGCTTTCTCAAGTTCCACCCACTTTACCGCGATTTCATAACCTGGAACTTGACAATATTTTATATATGGCTTGACCATTAAGGTCTATAAGATTGTGAAAGCTGATTCAAGTAGATGCACAATTGTGAAGGAATACGACCATTTTCAACGATTGCCACTGTATGACTACACCTTCTGTCCAAACATCTTGTTGCTAGGGTAGCCTCCTTCCAATTAATCAGTTGCAGCGTGCTTTGTGGATTGTAATTTCTCGAGTTGATGACTATTGATTAATCTCTAGGTTTGTTGTAACGAATTCCCTTTAGAGTCTTCCTTTTGAGTCCCTTAAAACATTCAATAATGCACCTGTTACCAATGGTTCTAGCTAAGGCGTATTGATATAATGGATGTAGAAATCAACTTCTTTGTAAAATTTTATAAGGAGGCTCAAATGGTAGGAAATAATCTAGTCATGTTATGATTGATTGATTGATATGTTATAAATGTCTCGTGTTTGCTTCCTTTTTATAGAATGGTGAAGAGCTTGATACCTCTATATTGCAAGAATACGCAAAATGTTGTGGCCGTCGGAATACGCGCGACACATTGCATTATCGGACTGAACTGGACGCACATATACGTTGCGCATACTGCACAGCTCTCCAAACCCTACGAAACTATCGGCGGATCCTCAACCAAGAGACGACGAAAAACAGTAAAGGCTTGAATGGGAACGGTGGTGAAGATTGGGTTGAGGATATGGCTTATGCTGA